TGGCCCGTTCTTAGTGAGCTTGTCATTTTTATACATCCTGTTTGCTTACCTTCAAATGAACATCTTTTCAGAAAATCATATTTATTTAAGCTTGGTTGGACTGCAGAGGACCCTGGATGGGAGGTGCAGGACTTTGATTTCAGAATGCTCCAGACTTTCTCATTTTTACAAAACTGTTCTCTAGTTTGTAATCATCATCAACCATTTTCTTAATATTGACAGAGAACAGCAGAGGTCAGTGGCTGTGGGAGGAACTGAAAAGGGAGAGAGAGAAAAAAGAGCTTTAAGGAGCCCTTTGCACTGGTTCAGTATTTGTCAGAGTTGCTTTGGTTTTTAGGAAGAACATAATGGAGTGTAACTCAAAAGGGAGTTTTATTATCCTCATTTACCAGAAACCTTAATACTCTGTTGAATTATCCCTTTCGAATTATGCTAGTCTTAAAAGTCTGGGGTTTTTTGGTTTGGTTTTTTTTTTTCCACTGTAAGGATTGCTGACATGTATAGCACCATGATGTTCAGCTGAGAGAATGGTGAATCACATGAGATGCTTTCCCAACATAAAAAACCAAAAAGTTAAGTTACAAGGAAAGTGGAGAGCTCAGTGTTCAATATGTAAAATACTCCTGTACTGTTGTTTTTAGTGTCACTTGACTGTGTTCTGCTGACCTTAAAAAAGAAAAAATTAAACCCCGTGAAACTAATTTGATTATCCAAGGCCCCACACTTGCTTATCTCAGACTTTTTGATAAGGAAAATAAGGAGTGCCCCAGGTAATAGTTTAACGTTCTTGGGTCAAAGTACAGGTGTGCTGTTAAAGAAATTGCTTTCAGTGTTTGGGATCAGAATAAAGGAAGCCTTTGATGTTGGCTCCACTCGGGTTATTGGGTTTCTTTCTCTGAGACAGCATCCTGTACAACATCTAAAATATGGGAAAAGAAGCACAGAGAGTAGTCATTAGGACAGGCAACATTCAGAAATTATATTCTGTAATAAATCCTTGGCAGTGTCTTTAAAATATAATGTGAAATTAATACTCTGAAAGTAGTGGTATTGACAATGTTAAAAAGTGGTATTTGTTTCCCAAAGCATACTTAGAGCTCAGACAGTGGTTTAAAAAAAAGAACAAAAAACCCCAAAACCTGCTGGAATAAAATAACTTGCTGTAGGAGAAACATTTTTGGAGGAGAGAAAAAAAAAGTAACAGTTTTCTTCATTTTTCCTTCATAGTTTGAATACATAATATTTTACAGCAGGCAAATCAAGAGTTGTTCCTTGAGGGTATTACATTTTAAATTAATGTTATATGGCTCTTCAGCTTTTATCAAAGTCACAGCCAAGATGCCAGTTCTGATAACATGATTTAAAAAAGAAAAAGCAGTGCTTGTGTGCTTTTTTTATATTGAATACATGGGTAAAAGAGCAAGGATAAGGGCCATGGGTGTACTTCAATTCATATGGCAGTAGCACAGCCCTGTTTTGCCAACCTGTTCTATAGGCTTGTGTTCTGTATCTTAAATATTGTCCTCAGAATCTCCAGGACTGCTTCTTCTGTGGAAAGTGTTTTAGTAAGTCTTGGCATGATCTGTATTGTTACTGGAATGGCTTGGGGAGTTAATCATTCTGCTCCTATTACAGTTGTTGAAGCGGATTGTTTTTCCAGTTCCTGTCAGCAGGAGTTTTCTGGGGGGTTTTTTTGTTGTTTTTTTTTTTTAAGTCACACCCACCAACCTATAAAGTTTATGGGCTGAAATAAAAGCTCATTTTATTTTAAACTAGAGTTTGGGTGTGTGTTAAGGTGGGTTCCCCCCTGCCGAGTTGCCATTATCAGCCTAGTCCATGGTCACTGTCTTGTGAGATGATGAAAGTGGATGTATACCCAGCATATGGTGTGTTGTGGGAATGCCTTTGATGCAGACTTGATTCATGCATTCAGTCTGTATTGTAGAGACACCGCCCCATCCGTAACTGGGAAATTGATGTCCATAGTTAGTTATGGGTAAACGTGGCTGCTGGAGTGTTGTAATTGTCAAGTTCTTTGATTCTTAATTTGTAGGTACTGTCCTGAGCTTCACTGCGGTGATTCCTGTAAGTTATCAAGTAGTTTGTGGTTTTCGCCACAGCGTGCGGGCAGGGGCGTTTTGCAGTCACTGTAAAACTCGTGGGATAAGTAGCAAAAGTTGGCAGCCTTAGCCAGAATTTCTCTGGAGCTGGGATTAATGGGACTGTACTCAGCTAGGGCAGCTCCAGCACCACTGATTTCTTTACACCACCACCACCACCCCCCCCTTTACTTATTACTTAATAAGGCTAAAAATGCTTGAAACAGTGAAGTATTTACTGTGGACAGGAACTGAAATGCTGGATATCCAGGGAAAGCTCAGTCCTTTAAAATGTTTTGCCTTTCTCTGGGGTTTGCTTTCATGTATCTGCTACTTGAAAACAGTGCTTCTGCAACGTTGTGTTTTGTGTTTTATTGCTGATACTTAAGCTTTCTTGTTTTAGTACTTGATATAGTTGTTACTGAATATTGTCGTTTGATTTGCTTTTTAAATGGTGATAGACAATTAAAACATTTTACAGTAACGCATTATGCTATTACTGCTTGCTCATTTGACGTTAAATAGGTGTGATTCATATTGTTTTCATTCTTATTTTGAAAAGTATTATTTAAGATAAGGCATATCGTTATAGCATGCTCTGAATATGTAATTTGAGTAATTTTTTGACAGATGTGAAATACTTCCAGTTTTCATGTGGATGTTTGAAGTACATGTGTAGTAATAGAAAATGTTACCAGATTATCTTGTTTCCCCTTAACAGAACTTTATTTCTGATCATAGGTTTTCAAGATGCGCCTTGCAAGACCTTTGGTTTTTTGTACCCTGACAAGCATGTAGGATTTTGTGTGCATACCAACAGATGTTAGACAACTAACAGCAAAATTACTAGAGGTTTAAAAAAGACTGGTTAGGGATCACTATTGAAAAACACAACAGAAATCCATATCCTCGCAGTTATCGGACTACTAGCTGAGAATGGCAAGTTTACTTGCTATATGAATATGGAAAAGTAATGAGGAATTGTGACTCTCAGGTTCCAGTAACAGCAGGGAAATGTAGGATTTTCTAAATAGAAATCATTGACTTATTTTGTTTCAATTGTACCAAAAGGGAAAATCACATAAGGTAGTTGTCTCAAAATACTCTGTGTTGAGGCCTTTGTGTTGTGTGCTGTACCAATTGCTTGGATACCCAAGGCTCATTTCTCACAGGTGGTGAAATAATGATGTGATGCGTGCATAAATCTGAGTGCTGTGGAAGTATGTGGACCAGGGTGGTAATTACATAGCAGTAGTGTTGGCTATATATTTTGTGTAAGGGAATGGGCTGTGAATGTCCTGGAGAATGGCTGAGTGTATTTCAGTCTTTGCAATTAGCAAGAGGATATAAGTGGGTGTGACAGCTCTGCACATCATTGGGTCAACACAGTGCCGGAAACCACTTTTATTTTTCTTGGTCTCCTGCAAATTAAAAAGAAAAGAAGGAAGATGACTTGTTTTTACTGAGTTTGGGTAAATAAAAAGCATAGACCGCAACGGTATTCATCAGCTGTGCTCTTCCAGTAAAGTTTCGGCGTGCTTAGAATTAACCTCTGAGCCCTGTAGACTTCAATAGAGACTGCACATATGCCTTAAGTGAAGCTTATGCTTAGTTTTCTCTTGTATGTAAGTGAAGTGTGAATGTATGTGAAGTCCAGATCTTGTTCCTTTGAAAATCAATTTGGGATTGTTCCTATTCATTTCAGTAAGACTTGTAGCAGGTTCCTAAAACCTTAGGAAGCATAGTTAGAAACATTAAATGAGAAAAGAAAAGAATGAAATTAAATTTAATCTGCTAAGTAATTCAGGCTTCTGAGGGTAGCTGTCACCTTTTTGTACGTGCCTCTTGTTGGTGTTTTTATTTAAAAATATTCTCCCCTCTGCCCCCCGCAATCCCACATCCCAGATCATGGGAGATTGCATTCTGCTCATATTGAAGTTGGTGGCAAAAGGTGTTGGCTCTGATTCTGGTGGAATCAGGAGATTTTTACGTTGCATATTCAGCATCTAAATATGCTGAATATCAAAATACCGAAGGCTGGTAAGCACTCTTTTTTTTTTTTTTTTCCTTGCATCCATTTACTGATCCATGTACCTGCATTGTATTTTAAAGTTTATTTCTACTTGACTGCCATTAGAGTTTTGCTCTACCTTGAATCTAAATGTCACTTGAGGTCATGGTGCACAAAACAAAGTCCGATACTTAAAAATGCATGATGTGTCAGGAACCTTAAAATATTTTTTTAAAGTATGGCATTTCTAGGAATTTTAGTAGTGCATATTGGCAAATCTAATTCATAACAGCTTCTATGTTCGTGTAATGAGTGGGATATTTTTTGTTTGTTTTGACAACTCGTTCTTTACTTGAATTAATATTAGCATTTATTTTTAAAAATATGTAAATTTTTTGAGGGCTTATGGTAAATAAGTGGCAGCTCTCACCGAATTTACAGCCTAGGTAAGAATATAAAGTAAAGGCAAATGCCACAGGGGATTAGTCTCATGTTACATGTGCAAGATTGTAAATTAGTTGAATGTCCAACCTGTCATTTTCAGGTCTTGTTTTTGTAAATATTGATTAGATTTTTCAGTAGTTTGCATTTTGTTAAAAACTTAAATCACTTTGATGTTTTACAGTGCATAAAGGAAGTTTTCTAGGGCAAATTCTTTTAAAAGGACATTGTCAAGGGAGTTTTCCTGCTCATTTACTCTTTGCACTTGTAAGCATCCCCAGAAACGTGAAAATGAAAACTCTCCTTTGCCAGGCTGCTGTCCTCCATTTCATGTGCATATTGGTTTGTCATTATAGGGTTACTGATAAGTGTTATGCTTTTTGGCATTGATGTATTTTTCAGAAAAAAGAATTGAAGCATTTGTTTTGAAAAAAGAAAAACACATTTAAAGAATTACATGGACTTTGCAAACAGATTTAAGAAAATGAAAGGTAGGTCAAACTTTGGGCCTACAAACCTGACAATGTCCTTTACTTTTAACATGTGTGCCTTATTTGATACATTCCTGATCCTAATGATGTTATATTAATCAGCAGCAGAAAAAATGTGAAAATGACATTGTTAATAATCATTAATCTTAATAGCTTACCTTGTTGCATTTTGGTATGTTTTCTAATGTCAGCAAACGGTGACAGCCTACTTTGAGATCTATGTTACTTGTGCAACGCGATCACCTTAGTTACTGTCAGGTCGTAACATAAAAGGTTGCTTTACAAAAGGTTTAGAACACATCATAACAGCCTAGAGTCTGTCAGGGAGAACTTTATTATCCTCCGGTTGTGAGTATGCCTAATGATATCGGCTTCAACTCTCCCCATTGGAGTGTAGCACACAAAGATGCACCTTTGTTTCAGGAGCGACAGGAGGGAGGTGCGGGGAGGATTTGGGAGCGGGGAGGAAACCAGCCTGCTTGGGTAGCTCTTGTTCTTTCCAGTTTAAAAAAATACATCTTGTGCTAAGGTTGGTCTGATAATTTGTAAGTTCCCATGCTGCCAGAGGTATAGAGGTAATAATTCACAACCCTGCCTCTCCTGTTTTGGTTACAAAGCTGGATGATAGATTCATTAATCTTCTTGTTTGCAAGACCCACAATCAGTTGAAATGCTTGTGCATGGGGCTGGCCTCCTGTTGGGTTCTGCAGCTGAAAGCTGCTTTTTAAATTTCCAAGGTTTTTTTTCCATGAAAGCTGGGCTAGAATAAGGTTTTGATACTTTTTTTTCTAAGAGCAGCTAGTCCAGATTGCAGCTCTGAAAAGGCACTCTTCCGTTAGCCGCATGGCAAGTAGCTGCTACATATGGACAACTGCTTTGTCTCTGTGTGTGTGCCCGTTATACCTGGTACTATTTTAGAGAAATTCCAGCAGTCAGTGGCACGGTAGCTGTTACTGGGGCAAGAGCTTCACCACCAGATTATTTCCATATTGGAGGGAAAAAAAAAACCCCAAACTAATAGCTGGATTAGAGCTGTCATGGGAAACTTTTTTTTTTTTTCCTTAAATACATTTAGATAACCTTAAGGGCCTGACTTATACCTAACAAAACCAGCAAGTTCAGAGTTAAGGCTTCTCACTCCATCTCCAGTACTCACTGGAGTGCTTGGCTCTCGTGGTGTTGGAGATCACACACTATCCTCAGATCCCTGCTCACCTAGGCAAAACGTTTGCCGCCTGAGTGGTGCCGACTGTTCCAGGTACGTCTGTTTACAATACACCTGCTGTCCTGCGCAAGCTGCCCTGCGCGTCTTAACAGTCCGCTGGTTTCCCTGGTATGTTAATGGCCGGTGGCAGCACAGCAGGTGTGGTGGAAGGCCAGCAACGAAAGGGGGAAGGGGACAGATGCAGTGAGAAGCTTTAACTTTGAGTTTCCTGGCTTCTGTGAGCACAAGTCAGACCCTTAATGTTGTGTTAATGTATTGTTTGTGTTTAATTTTTAGTAAAAATTTGAACACCATCCAGGCTACAGAGGTTGCAGTGGATAAGAAGTTTAAAAGCTTTGGTTCAAGATTACAGGAGGCTGCAAGAAAAATTAAAGACATGGAAATGAGGATCGAATGACAGGCTGCTATTTTGCCTCAGAATACTGAAGATTGTAAAGCATTGAGAAATCGAATTCATGACCCTGGAAATCAAGCTCAGATTAAGAAATGTCAGGTTGGTAGGGGTTCCTGAAAGTCTCAAGTTAGGATAAACTGAGATTGTTTTCCCATAACAACGGTTCTAGGATGTGGGGGTGGATGGTACAATTTTTGTTATCTGTGTTATGTGAAATGCTATACCATATACTTAAATAAGCCAGCTAAGTGAAATTATTATTATTTTTTTTAATTAGTTTCACATTTGTGGTGTCGAATGTCACTTTTGACCGGTTTACAGTTATTCCTCCCTGGCACCGAGTTGCATGAATTACTGTTAATGCAGGCATGGAAAATACTGCTCTTAAATACACATTGCTTTATCCTGCTACTCCAAGGGTCTGCTGCAAAGCCAAACACATGGTGCAGTATGACATTTCTAGATAAGAAACAGGCAGAACATATCTAAATGGTGGAAGAAGTAGTTTTTTGTTCAAAGGATTCTGGTTCATAGTGAAACTGTGTCTTTCCAAATGTAAACTTTTAAATAGTGGCTGCCACTGTGATTAAGTTACTGTAAGTTTACTTAAGTGTTGAGTTATTGTCTGCGATTTAGTGATATGGCATTTAGGCAGAAAGATTGTGCAACAGGAAGTCTATGCTGAAGTTCAAAAAGGGTTTTGGCAAGCGAAGGTCTGTAGGGTTTTCGTGGTCAAGGTCACTGGATGTATTTGAGTTCTGGGGATTCTTAAAGTCTGAGATTCTCTCTGGGAGGGTTTATCCTTCTAGTTGTTTTCCTGACTTTTGTTTCTGTGCTTTGGAGCTTGGTTTGGCATGTCGCTTAGCACCAACATTAGACACAGATAACTTGGTTGAAATCAATAGATACACTGGCATGAGGGGAAAACCAGACCACACCTTTATGTATTTCAGAGAAATCATTGTTTTAAAGGGTTGTGTTTTGTGATCCTGTATTTCATGATTTTCTGAGATAGCTCTAGTCAGAAAAGTGTTTCTTAAAAGTGACAGTTTTTGCTTCTGTCATCTGTCCAGACTATATGTATTCTTTCGTTGACAAAGGTGCTTTAGCTGTAGCTCTAAGGGAGTCATCTGTGCCATGTTTTTCCTCATTCATCTTCAACAACTTTAGTATCAAAGTTGTGTTTTCTTTTTTTAATTTTATTTTAGCTAGCGTTCAAACTTGTTGTTGAAATCCTGGGTTTGCTGGACTGACAATTGAGATGATGACCATAACATTTCACTTGTAAAATGAGCACAGTTATTCAATGCAATATGAATAGGACTTGCAATGTCATTTTTACATTTGTTTCAAGACATAATTGCATTTTATTAATGCTATTACATATACTGTTTTGAAAGAATCGTGAACAAGTCTATAACGTGCTTTATTCTAGGGTGTTTCTAAGTAAATTTAACGTGGGTTTTTATAATTAAATTCCCATTAAAGGATAGTAATTATTCTCTGGATAACTATGTAGCTTTACATTGTGTATTCATGTAGTGTTTGTATCCTGTACCACATTATTAATGTGTGGCTTATTTACTAAAAGTGACTGTATGAAGGTTATGTGGCCGTTCCTGGTTCAAACAGGTAACAGTAGTAAATTAGCAAGATGCATGATTTTTAATATATGGTATTAAAAAGGCTTCCATTTAATTTTGGTGGCTTGATATTACTGAAGGAATCTGTGTACCAGAAGTATTTTTAAGCATGTCTATCACAGCAGAGGTTAGGAATTTATGGTTTTACAACAGAGAACAGTTTTCATGGGTGTTTATACCCATGGAAAACTTCTGGTGAATACTTTTCACGTCTGAATGCCTGTCTGCTGTGGTGAGAATTCTGCAGTCAGTCCATTGGCATCATCAGTTGTTGGGAGATGCTGGGACTAGAACAGAAAAGAACCAAACGTAGTGACTCTTTTTCTATCTTCTTCAAGCGTAAAAACTGTTTGAATAGGTAAAGAACTTCAGTGCCAGATTGTAGCACAGCTGGCCTATCCTCATGACTTGGTTAGGGGTGGACATGAAATTTATGGGTGCAGGCTGGACAGTTGAGACTATGAGGCTAACAGACTCTTCAGCAGTACTCCTTCAGCCCCGGACCTGAGCTTGGTCCCAGTGGGGAAGCAATACGCTGCTTCTGTTGACTTGTGAAAATCTCTTTTCCCAGCAGCTGTTTTTCTTCACCAGGTATCTTGTACATCTGGGATTCTACTGACTTTTCCATCCACTTAAGATGCGGATGACAGTCTTTCAGGGCTTGCTTTTTGACACAGGCTGGGACTTTAGATGCAGGGATTGCTTATAGAAGGTAGCTGGGGAACTTCAGTCTTTTGCATTAATGTTGGACTAACTTGCATTATCAAGCAATAAGCAATGTTTTTAAATTCACACTGCATACAAAAAATATCTAGCCTCCTTCACTTTGGAGTGTTTAAAGCTATTTTAAAAGCAGGAAAAAAATGATGTATTTTATTCTTGGTTTTGCGTTTCCTTATCTCTTCAGGAAGTCCCTTTTTTTCCACCCATGCTTAACTACTTTTGTGTAAATGTAATGGTTTAATATTATTCCCTTGAGTACTTTTGTATATTTGTAGCATCTATACTGTTAAAAAGATGCTCTCTAAATATCTTGTTTTAATGATTACTTTTCATTTTAAGACTCCATAAAGAGGATATAAATGAAGTCTGCACTTTCAACTGATTTTCCTTCCCCCAGACGTTTAATGTGTATTTCTTTGTCACTCTACGATGTTCCAAGCATGATGTCGATTTAGGGAGGGACATTTTGTTCATGTTTTATAAGTTTTCAATGGTGGATTAAGTATGATGTATGTGTTTGACTAAGCTATACAGAATTGTTTTGTCTAAGCACACCTACATAGATCAGCAATTAGCCTGTACACTTGTATATTGGATCTTCAATAAATTCAAAATTTTGCTGTTGTAGGCTTTTTTCCAGTTAAATTTTAGTCTTAGCAGACCATCATCATATATGTAAATTGATGTAAATCAAATTCTCACTGAGTTGCTTATGATATTCCATAAGCTGTACTCTTACAAGCCTGGACAAGATATTTCTCACTCTATCTAGAGCTCACAAAGGTGTGGAATCCAATCAAAACATAAACCTTGGATAAGACTGCACAGACACTTCTTAATAGTGCAGTAAGGATGTATCTTTAAAAAACAAATATACTGTTCCCTTAATGGGTTTATCCATCTTCCATTGTTCAGCCTCCTGAACCTCCATGGCATTTTTTTCTTAGGTCTTCTGTGTTTGGTTGATTGCTGACTGTAAATTACTTGCTGTTTTACTAGCTTCAGTCCTTGAAATCTTTTTCTGCCATCAGAATAAACAGACTAGCTATAATCTATTTCTATTATTACATTTACATGGCTTGAATAAAAAGTATTCTCTGTTTCTTTGTAGGCATTCGACCTCCGATCATGAATGGGCCCATGCACCCGCGCCCTTTGGTAGCGTTGCTGGATGGCAGGGATTGTACAGTAGAAATGCCTATTCTGAAGGACGTAGCCACGGTGGCATTTTGTGATGCTCAGTCTACACAAGAAATTCATGAAAAGGTAATATTTAGAGGTATAATTAAAGTGTTTTAGAAAATGCAAATATGTTCATGATTATGAATAGATACAATGTTGTGTTAGCTATGGCATTGTGTTTAGCTATTGCATTTTAGTTAATGGTCGATTACCTTAGTGAGTTACTGGTCATTTCCAATAAATGATGAAACATGATGATGAAACAAAGATGAAAATAACTGTTGAATTATGCTTTTGTGCAGTATATCTTTGGCTGGATGTTATCCGTGTGCTTACCTACTGAATTAGATTGATGGAGAGTGTTACTTGTGGGAAAGTTGTATTATTACATGATATTTTGAAATGCTTCTTGGAAGCACTGTTGCTCAGCCTTCAGCTGGAAAGCTAAATTTCAGTATTGGATTGGCCACGTGAGGAACTTTCAAGCTTCTCTGTTTAGCCAAGGAATTGTACAAATCAGGTTAGGAGGCCTTGTGCACTAACAATTGACACTACGGAAGAGTTTCAAAATAAATGCTAACCCAAAACTTATTTAGAAAATGAATTTTAAAAAGTATTCTAATTGTATGTTATTCCAGACGTTTGCAGCCTTCTGGAGTTTTGGGAGCTGTAAAGCAAGTAGTTCTTAATGTTGTCAAAGGTTTTCTCATTTTCTTAGAAGGATACCCATTTTTCGTGATTATAGGCAAGGGAGCCAGCTGGCCCATACACCTACATTTTCTCTTCAGTGACTTCTTTCAGCGTGAAGGCCTCTTGTCTAGCCCAAATCCTCGCTGCTCCCTAGACAGCAATAGAACCTTTTCGCATCCATATTTCTGTAGAGGTAGAATTAATTTTGGTGAAGTTTTTGGCTAGCAGAGTAAGGCTGAAATGCCAAATATTCCTTCACCTGATAAAGGATGAAACCAGGCCTTACAGCTTCTGTGGATGTGAAAAAATGTAGTAAGTATGATAGCAGAGGAGCCAAGTGCAGAGGAGGGTGTTCAGGGGGCCCTTACACAGGAATTTATTTTCTTCGACTCCAGCAAAGATCCATGATAGACAAGTACAGATCCAAGTATTAACTTAAAGGCTTGTTAGCTAAGTGTCTGTATCCACTTTTGTGTGTGTGGTACCCTATACTGCTGGGTGTGATTCAGGTGTTAAGTTTTGCCAGCTGAACTGAATTGCACCAGTATTCTTGTTTCTCTACAGATACCTTGTTAGACTTGTCCTACACTAATTACAGCAGCCCTTGGGTTTGTGACAGGTTTTCAGAAGCTTTGCACTATCTTGAATTCATAACTCGTTTAACTGCTTATTTCCTTTTCATGTTCTTGTAATATATAAAATTGTTAAACATTTTAAAGTCTCTGTATATGATGAAAGATTTAATATTTTCTTTGATGACTTTCTTACAAAGCCAGCTACTTGAAAATAATGCCAATACTAACTTCCTTTCTGTTATCAGGTGAATAAATCAAATTTTCTGTAGTCCATTTCGTGTTAACTTCTTCCTGGTGAGAACCCATCGGCCAAATATTCAGCTTGTTATTTCTTAGCAAAAATATTTTTATTCTGAAAAAAAAAACCATGTTCATTGTTAAAACTTTGAAAATTTGTAAGTGGCAGATTTTTTTTTTTTCTTCCTTATGTGTTTTTTCTTTTTTAAACAATAAGGAGAAGACTGAAGATTTGTATGCTGTATCAACACAGCAAACTAGAACTGCTGATTCTCATGGTTCAGGCAAACACAAGAGATGACCCCTTTCTGAAGCCCTGTGTGTAGTTCCTTGGTGGATATCTCTGGAGACTTTCAGGTTTCCTGTCCTACCCTTCTGCCCCTCTCCGCGCACAGGAATAGGCTGTTGACAGAACAGTAGTCAAGAATGATATTCAAGGTTGTTCTCTGCCACATCAGTACTAGCTTAATAGGACTACCTTGTTTTGTTCAGCTGTGTTTTAGATACAATCGAATTCTTATGTGAATAGGAAAATGGAAAAAAATAAAATTGTTCCTATTTGGAAATAATCTGCATTCCAAACACCCTTTTTCTCAGTTGATTGCATGTTTCTCTCAGGATAGTTAAAACTATTATTTTTAGATGGTTCTTGAATTGTAAGCTAGATTCAGAGTTGGCAATATTATAGTTCTGATCTCGTGTCTTTTTTTAATGTGTTTATACTGTCGTATAGAAAACCATCTTTACAGTGGATGGTCAACAGGATAGCGTAAATACCTGAACTTGATTTTTGTTGTGACATTCTATTTTAAAACATTAAAATTTTAGTAAAACCTAATGCTAATTTCAACCTTGTCTTTAACATCTGTTGGAAAAGACCAGTGTTTTTGCTGTGCAGTATTGTGGCAGTGAATAAGAACCTAAAAGTAACTAACTTGAGGACAAATGCAAAGTAGTGAAAACTTCTCTGTCTTCACTGGTGATTGGAGATGCATAGAAATGGTTACTGTTGTTTTAGGGTAATTTTTTAATTTAAAAAAAGCTTAATTTGTAAGGTTCAAAGACAATAATAATCTAAGTATAATACTTTATTTTTTTAATTTAGAGAAATATTCAACCCAAGCTTTTTTCTCTCAGTTCCCTTTTACCTTTTTATGTATTGAGAATTCAAATGTGATATAATGCCTTATTTCTGTGTATTTCTTTTTAATCATGTTGAAAAGGTGCATTCATCTTAACTGTTCTCCTATCTCACACCACTGTCAGAAGTTTAATACATGAAATAGGTGGATTCCATTTACAAGGACTACATAATGTGGAGAATAAGTAATAAAAATGCTGTTTCACTTTTTTTAGTAGATAATAGCAGTCTGCTTTTCAGGTGAACACCGTAACATTGGCAGCTGCACCACCTGTGTAGTTTTATGCTTTGATTACTGAAATCAACATTTACTTCTGATGCATCAAGACTGGGGAATTCCTGTGTGACATGATTGCCTTGCCTTAGAAACACTCAATATTTTCTGTTATCAGTGGGGTGTAGTAAATGAACTTTTCAGATCTTGGGACTGAAAGTCAGTGTGTGTATCTCAAATTGTGGCTTTGGAAAAGCATTTAAATAACTGATGAGTAACATAGGTAATATGTTGTTGATCTTCACGAGAGTGTCGTATTTAGCAGATTATAGAAAAGCTTGCATTCTTTGCTTTTTATTGTACCAAAATAATTCATTCTCAGTGAGCTCAGTAATATATCTGGAAAAAATATTTTCACTAGCTACCAGTACACTGCCATAATACAAATTTTCACTAGTCAAAGGATGATGCAGTCCTAAAACATTTGGGTTTGCAAAGTACCACTGTTCTGCCAGGTAATAAATTTCCACAATAAAAATCACAAACCTTAATTCATTATCATATTGTTGTATTAATTCATCATAGACTAAGAGATCATTTTTATGAAGTGTTGAGCGCTGTTCACTTCCATGTAAAAACTGTTCACTGTTCATCTGCAGTGAAAAGTGGCTATTTTCCACAAATCCTTAGAGTTATAGTAGAGAAATACCTGTATTTTAGTACTGCTTGTATAATACCTTATTTCGGAATGGTGCTTTACTAAATATAAAATTGTTTTCAGGAAAAGTTTTAAAATTAGAAGTTGCATATTTAAAGCAATATCTAAAATGTTCATGTATTTACGAATGCACATTCCTGGCCATGCTAAATGATGTTGTCCTGTTAATTAAAATACAGATTTTGATAATGGATGTTAATTTGCAAAAGACAGTTCCCCATTGTGAACGAAGAGATGATTGAAAATCAAGAAATGGTTTAGTGTTGAAAAGAGCTTGCTGAAAGCAGAAGGTGAAATTTAGTTTTTCTTTCATATTTCTCGTCATTAACAAAAGGTACTGAATCTGATAGGGTAGTCGATGCAGATATATTTATATAGTCTGAAGTTGCAGGATGCAGGCCAGAGACTGGGAAATTTAGATGGGGTTTGAAAGAGGTGATTGACATTGTTTCATACACACAGATGGGGGGTTGTAGATGAATGTAATGAAAAAAAAAAAAAGACATGAACTGAGAGTTGGATGAGGAAAGGAGTGAAAGACTACAGAGGAATGGCTAGGAAAGTTAAGAGCTGGTATGAAGTCAGCTTGCGCAGTTGTGGAGCCTTGATCACAGGGGTGTAAGGGGTCGGTGTTTGAGGAGTAAACATTTTGGAATGCGGGGAAGGGATTTCTGCTGGTCACAAGAAGGTTTCAGGGACAGGATGATGGTTTAAAATGCTGTCTTTTAAGATGGCTAGACAACAAAGGAAGTAGAGTGGAAAAGGGGAATTTGTAGTAGTTTGTGACACAGCAAAGCACAAGCTAGATACTTTTTCATAGAGAAGCAAGCAGGCTGAGAGACTTTAACACATACAGAAAGGAAGGAAAAGAAATGAGGATTTGAATGCTGTTTGTATACAGGGTCAAAAGCAGGACATTAGCAAACACTATTACACCTTACTATGTGTGTTAATTAAAGAAAGTTTTCTCCAAATTGGGTTATGCCTGAGTTGCAGTTCTGTAGCAATTCCCTTATGCCAAAGAGTTAATTTGTCTTTCTCTTTTTATGGCTGAGGAAATTGAAGTATGGAAAAGAGGTAACTTGTTTAAGGTCACAAGTAAATAATAACGTGTATTAGAACTTTGCTTCATCTCAGGTCAAAGCATTCATTCCCCGTGCCACGGCTTTGGAAGACAAGTTGGGTGACTGAGATATGTTTCCTTCCTTTTGAAAATCAGGCTGTCGGTACTTAAGTGAATACTGACATTTACTGAGAGTGACCCAAGGTTTTGAAATAACTTTGTAGTTAGAGGACAGTTATTACATTTCTTCAGAAATTACTTGTGTATAAGGTTTTGCTGATTTCTTGTTTTGGTTTTTTTCCCCACCCGCCCTAGAAAAAGTAGTTTGTTTTCAAGCCAGTCTGAAAGGCTGCATTTTTTATGTTTATGCTTTGACTCCTAAGTTCATTTCATTGTAGATGTTGCATACGGCTGTGTGAAGTTGAGCATTACGTTTGTCAAACTAT